TTCATAGAATTCTTCCAAACCTTCTTAACTCTTCTAATGTTCATTTGGTGATATGTACAATAAAGTTAACATTTACGTTCATTTGACCAAGCTCCGCGGGCCGCAACACGACTCCAGGCGGGCCGCATGCGGCCCGCGGGCCTCATGTCGGCCACCCTTGATCTAAACCAAGAAATTTCTGCATGTAATAGTTTTAAAATTAATTTTTCAGGATATAAATTATTTTCAGATCAGAAATTTTTCAAGTAAATTAATTTTATAAATAATTATAATATTCAGAAAACTGTTCAATTCATTTCTTAAGTAAAGATTTTCTTAAGTAGAGATTCAACCTAAAATAATAATATAACAATAAAACAAAGTAAAATAGGAAAATAGTTTAATATATTAATAATAATTATTTAAATTATATTTGTTACTTATTTATTAAATACCTACCCATACAATGTATTGATTTTGAATAATAATTTTGAATATGTTTAATTAAGAATTGTTCGTAAGATAGAATATCACGAAAATAACAACGCTTTTTAAAATATTTGTGGTAATAACAATATTTTAATATTATCCAACCTTAAGAAGTTCGATGTCTAAATAATTGTAGCTCAAGTTTTTAAAAAGATTTTCTTCTTCCTACCTATCCACCATTAAATAAAAAATAATTTATTATACGTTGTGAAATGATTTAATAACTTTTGTAAATTACTATGTTTAATCCAACCAGTTATATCCGATGTTTTTCATCTGTAAAATTTAATCTATGAATTTTTTTGGTAGAAAATCGACTTGCCATTGATCTTTCGCTGATAATTGATACTTTTTAACAGAATCTATATAAATGTCTATTACAGCTTCTATAGGACTGTGTAATGTTTTAGTTACTAAAATGAAATGAAAGTAAAAAATTATAAAGTATAAGAATTTAAAACTCAAATTCTACAGTAGCAATAATAATAATATTAAAATAGTGTCTTTCTTCAAATTAAATTCAAACTGTCTGATCAAACAAACTCATTAATCTGTGAATTACTATGTGGTTTAACTGATAAACTCTAATTAAAGATATTAAATTTATAAAATGAAACTCTGATTATACACATCTTCGTTTTTTTTTTTAATTATGAACTCATATAATAATTAAAATCGAGGTGAAATATCAATAAACTTTAAGAAGAAATTTTACAACGATAAGGTAATTTATTTTAAAAATAACTTATTTCATAANGTTGTTGTTGTCGGAACAGTCGTTGTTGTCGTCGGAACAGTCGTTGTTGTTGTCGAAGCGATCGTTGTTGTTGTCGGAACAGTCGTCGTTGTAGTTGGAGCGGTCGTTGTTGTCGTCGGAACAGTTGTTGTCGTCGGAACAGTCGTTGTTGTTGTCGGAACAGTTGTTGTCGTCGGAACAGTTGTTGTCGTCGGAACAGTTGTTGTCGTCGGAGGGGTCGTTGTTGTAGTTGGAGCGGTCGTTGTTGTCGTCGGAACAGTTGTTGTCGTCGGAGGGGTCGTTGTTGTAGTTGGAGCGGTCGTTGTAGTTGTTGTCGTCGTCGTTTCTGCAATGGTCGCTGTCGTTGGAATAGTTGAAATAGTCGTTGCAACAGTGGTAGTAGTTGTTGGAATTGGAATTATCATAGGTCTTCGAGTGGTAGTCGTAGTAGTGGTTGTTGAAGTTGGTATAGGTGTTTGAGTAGTAGTAGTACGTGGTCGTCCCTTTCCTTGTCTTTCTCCAATAATATGATTAGATCTTTCCAATAGTAAACACTTGTCTATTTTCCAATTATACTGAAAAACAAATTTATTTCGATAGTATCGAATTTAGCATTTTACCTTTTTTTTCTCTTGTTTTTATATCTTGATCTGCGATTTCAAAAAACAAAATACACGAGTATAAAAATTAATGTTGATGCTAAATATATTTATATCATAATTCTTATGTGTAGAGCAATCAAAATTGAAAGAAATAATCNTCGCCTCTGTTATGGTCGTAGTAGCAATAATCGTAGTTGGAGTTGTCGTCGGGGTAGTAGTTGTTGTTGTCGTAGGAGCGGTCGTCGTTGTTGTCGTCGGAACAGTCGTTGTTGTCGTTGGAGGGGTCGTTGTTGTAGTTGGAGCGGTCGTAGTTGTGGTCGGAACAGTTGTTGTTGTAGTTGGAGCGGTCGTTGTTGTCGTTGTCGTCGGAGGGTTCGTTATTGTAGTTGAAGCGGTCGTACTTGTCGCCGGAACAGTTGTTGTTGTCGTTGGAGGAGTCGTTGTTGTAGTTGGAGCGATCGTTGTTGTTGTTGTCGTCGTCGTTTCTGGAATGGTCGTTGCAACAGTGGTAGTGGTTGTTGGAATTGGAATTATTATAGGTCTTTGAGTGGTAGTAGTTGTTGGAATTGGAATTATTATAGGTCTTTGAGTGGTAGTAGAAGGTGGTCGTATTATCTGTCTTTCTCCAATAATTTGATTAGATCTTTCCAATAGTAAACACTTGTCTATTTTCCAATTATACTGAAAAACAAATTTATTTCGATAGTTTCGAATTTAGCATTTTACCTCTTTTTTCTCTTATTTTTATATCTTGATCTGCGATTTCAAGGAACGAAATACACGAGTATAAAAATTAATGTTGATGCTAAATATATTGATATCATAATTCTTATGTGTAGAGCAATCAAAATTGAAAGAAATAATCTGTAATATCAAGCTACTCTCAGTAAACACACTCTTAACATATCTGAACGGGTTTGTTCAAATATAAATTCTAAATATAACTGAAGTATTCAAAATATAAAAACATTCTTATATAAAAAATAAAGAAGACATTAAACTATCTGAAAAAGTTCGGAACAATTGGAAAATTTCTGGAACGATCGCTCTATCTGGCCAAAACAGAGAAGAATGGACAGCAGGTATCATGGTTATCACCCAGTATTAAGAAGTACAAAAATTATTTTAACTCTTTGTGCCCCGTGAGCACGAAGAGGACCCTTTATCCATATCTATCGTGGGTTTGTTCAGACTAAAAAGGAAGCGGTCGAAAGCTAACAATGAGCCCTGGGAAATCTGCCTTGGTTGCTGTCCGTGTTGATTCACTAATATGGTAACAGAGTTGGGCATTAGTTGACTAAATTTTCAATCATGACTAAAATAAACTGAGTAATTAGTCTTATTTCGTTCGTCTATTATCTATCTGTCTGTCTGCAGACGGCCAACGGATGACAGTGGAAACATACAGGTCTTCAATTTGAAAACTGCAGCCCAATATAACTTACGTATAATTAACATGCTAACTGTTATAGATAATTTCTATAAATTATAGTTAAACCTGTCTATAACGGAACCTGTATATAGCGGAAACTGTCTACTTCGGAAGACGGATTTTCACTAGACAGATTTGACTGTATATTGAAAAGTGAGCAAATGAAGTCAAATTAGGAACAATCCATTTTGCAAAAATAGAAACAACGTATATTAACCCTTTTTAAACCATTATGAAGTGGTGTAATTTGTATTTAAATTTGTTAATTATAATTTAACAGTCGTATACATGAGATATACGACACTTAAATCTCTGCATATAAGTGTGTTGTTTTGGGTGCTCTACTAAATATAGTTAGTTTTATATTTCATGTTAACGTTTTTGAAATGTTCTGTGCTAAGATCACACAACAAGATAAAACAAAATGACATGAAACTTCAGGAAAAATAAATAGTTATAATCTTTTCAAATTGGGGTGGAGACATATTCCTGCTTTAAGTTTAATTAAGGTAAACAAGATTATCAAAGCATGACACATTTTATAATGCCAACGGGAGCATACTAAGTAGGTCATGTTCCGTAGTAGTATAGTTTGATTGATGAAATAAAGATAAAGGCAACGCCACACATGGGCGTTCTGCAAATAGAAATACACCCGTGTCTACTTATATTAACCTGCTTATAATGAATTCTCGGCATTAACGAATCAATTTTAAAAATACAAATGAATCACCCATAAGAGCAACGTTATTTTTCGAGCTACAACGAAACCGTACATAAAGAACAATATTTGGATTTAAAAAAATACTTCTNCTTCTAATGTGGCTTTATGTTGCCGATCTTGCCCCGCTAGTCATGATTTCGAAACATTAAGTACAACCCTGAGAACAGAATGCCAAGCCATGATCTGGCCACGTGAATAAGTTAAAGGTACATCCTTCTAACAGGAAAAGTAACTTTCGTTATCATGAAATTATAACAAAACATACTAATTCTATATAAATGAAGCAAAATATTATATGGAATTGAACGAAAATGAAAATTTGCTTATTAATTCAACTACGCTTGTTGGAGAACAATAAAAACACTACACTCAACAAGCTACCAATAAAACTCAACTGCCTAACCTATAACCAAAGTGTTCTTTTAATTTGTTTTTGAAAAAAAGCGCTTGGCAAACTTGCCCCGCATGCCGAATTTGCCCCGGTCTCCCCTAAATTCTAAATATAACTGAAATATTCAAAATATATAAACATGCTTATATAAAGAATAAAGAAGACATTAAACTATCTGAAAAAGATGGGAACAATTGGAAAATTTCTAGAACGATCGCTCTATCTGGGCCAAAACAGAGAAGAATGGACAGCAGGTGTCATGGTTATCACCCAGTTTTAAGTAGTACAAAAATTATTTTAACTCTTTGTGCCCCGTGAGCGCGAAGAGGACCCTTTATTCATATCTATCGTAGGTTTGTTCAGACTAAAAAGGAAGCGGTCGAAAGCTGAACAATGAGCCCTGGTAAATCTGCTTGGTTGCTACTCGTCCTGATTTCCTATTACGGTAACAGTATTCGGCATTAGTCGACTAAATTTTCAATCATGATTGAAATTAACTGACTAAATTAGTCTTATTTCGTCCGTCCATTATCTATCTGTCTGTCAATTTGCATGTCTGCAGACAGCTAAGGGATGACAGTGGAAACATACATGTCTTCAATTTAAAAACTGCAGCCCAATATAACCTACGTATAATTAACATGCTAACTGTTATAGATAATTTCTATAAATTACAGTTAAACCTGTCTACAACGGAACCTGTATATAGCGGAAACTGTCTACTTTGGAAGACGTTATATGATCTGTTCAAATTGGGGTGAAGACATATTCCTGCTTTAAGTTTAATTAAGGTAAACAAGATTATTAAAGCATGACACATTATATAATGCCAACGGGAGCATACAAAGTAGGTCAGGTTCGGTAGTAGTAGGGTTTGATTGATGGAATAAAGATAAAGACAACGCCACACATGGGCGTTCTGCAAATGAAAATACACCCGTGTCTACTTATATTAACCTGCTTATAATGAATTCTCGGCTTTAACGAACCAATTTTAAAAATACAAATGAAACACCCATAAGAGCCACGTTATTTTTTCGGGCTACAACGAACCCGTATATAAAGAACAGTATTTGGATTTAAAAAATTTTAATAATAAAAAAATTTATATATTTACAATTAATAATGATAAATATATCCAGTAGATCCCCGTCTTACGACCTAATTAATTTTTGCATAATTGTCGTTATGCAAATCGTCCCTTATTCTATAAGTTTAATGTTATAAACAGAAGTTACGTTCCTGGAAACAAATTTTACTTACGTAATTTAAATATTGTTTTCTAACAAAAACGTATAGATGTTAAATATACCATTTTACATGCTCAAAATATTAAATAACATCAGACATAAAAAGGAAGCATAAAGAAAAACTCGGTCGTAAAGTAGGGGTCTACTGTATTTAATAGTAATGAATATAAAAATGTATGAGTTTTATTACGTGAATTTCGAACGTTATTAAAAATTCTATAGATAAATTATTTATTTATATATAATTTATATAAAATAAAAGTAACTTACTGTATTTATACTTTTCAATGTGGAGATGAATGATTCAATCTTTGTTAGTAAACTGTTATCATTATTATTCTCTATTTCATTAAGAATTTGATTCCATATAATACCACTGAGAAATAAATTTCCTACTTGTGGTTCCTCATGTCGATATACACACAGACATATTCCTTTTTAAAAATATAAAATTTTCATTTAAAACGACACTTTAACAATGAAAATATCGAAAGTTTTTTTTTAAAATTTATATCAAAACAATTTATAACACCAATCATTCTAAATAGAACATAAAAGTATTGTTTGGTTTTGATTTGAATTAAATATAATCAGTGGTCAAACAATTATATTTACTTTGAAAAACAAAGAAAAAGGAAAGTTGGATTGATAGAATAATGGCAACTAATCTGTGGTAGTTGGATGCCTGCAAAAAGGACCTTTTTTAGGTGTAATGCATGCAAAAATACCCTGTGAAACTCCAGTGTTTAACCATTTCGTGAGCCGCGAACCTACGACTGCTTATTAGTGTTCAGTGGTTTTATTTACTAGCCCACTGTTAGTTGTGAATATAAGAAAATAAAGGAAAATAGTAAATTTGGGACAATTAATAAAGAATAAACTTGAAAAATAAGGGAAAAAAAGGAAAAATAAATTTAAATTAATTTTATATTATTTTGTGTTTAGGTTGATGAGAATAATGAAAAACACAGCACGAATGATCTGCTTTTCGGGAGAATTTCTATAGAGAATTGCTCCTTTTGGATGTTAGACGGGTGAAGAAAATCCATAAAACTGCACCAACTAGTAGTTTTATCCAGTAGCTCAGAAAATAAATTTAAAGCAGTAAGATACATTTAGTAATTTTTGTTTTATTTATATAGTAATGTAGGAAAAAAAGTAATTTAAAAAAACAACCTTAAACTGNAAATCGACACTTTAACAATGAAAATATCGAAAGTTTTTTTTTAAATTTATATTAAAACAATTTATAACACCGATCAGTGTAATTAAAACATAAAAATATTGTTTGGTTTTGATTTGAATTAAATATAATCAGTGGTCAAACAATTATATTTACTTTGAAAAACAAGGAAAAAGGAAAGTTGGATTGATAGAATAATGGAAACTCATGGATAGGTTAATGGCAACTCATCTGTGATAGTTGGATGCCTGCAAAGAGGACCTTCTTTAGGTGTACTACATGCAAAAATACCCTGTTTTTTGCATTTATGTTAACGTTTGGTGAAACTCCAGTGTTTGATCACTTCGTGAGGCGCGAACCTGCGACAGCTTATTAGTGTTCAGTGGTTTTATTCACTCGCCCACTATTAGTTGTGAATATAAGAAAATAAAGAGAAATAGTAAATTTGGGACAACTAATATAGAATAAACTTCAAAAATAAGTGGGGGGAAAGGGAAGATAAACCAAACCTGAATTATTTTTATATTATTTTGTGTTTAGGTTGATGAGAACAATGAAAACACAGCACGAATGATCTGCTTTCCGGGAGAACTTTCTATAGAAAACTGCTCCTTTTGAATGTTAGACGGGTGAAGAAAATCCATAAAACTGCACCAACTAGTAGTTTTATCTAGTAGCTTAGAAAGTAAATTTAAAACAGTAAGATACATTGCGTAATTTTTGTTTAATTTATATAGTAAGGTAGGAAAAAAGTAATTTAAAAAACAACCTTAAACTGATAATTTTTTCAGAATTTTAATTATAACCAAATAAATTCTAGCCAATTTGAATAAATTTTAACGTTTATTAAATAAATTTTTACACATATTTTTTAAAAATTCTATTGAAAACATCTAAAGAAAATAACTGCTTGAGATCAAAATTATAGACGTAATAAGTACAGAAATAAAATATAAATAATTTAATTTTAAAAATTAACTTATAATAATTAAATCAAAACTTATTTAATGCAATTCTGTGAAAGTATAATACTTTTATAAAACTAGACTTAAAATAATGAGCAATATTTTTTTTTCGGGTTTATTAATTGTAATTTTTACGCCTTATGAATACTAAGAGGGCCTTTTTTCAAGTACCTCAGTTCCTCCAACCTTGTTTTATGCCTTCACCGAACCCACGATAGACTTGTGAGATCGGTCGATGGTTTACAGACGGAACCCTCGAATAATGAGTGAAAAAAATAGTCTTACCAATAAAGAAAACTTGGAGAAGTAACTTCATTTTTTTCTTTTAGTGTTTACGAAATAAAAATNAGTACAAAAATTATTTTAACTCTTTGTGCCCCGTGAGCGCGAAGAGGACCCTTTATTCATATCTATCGTAGGTTTGTTCAGACTAAAAAGGAAGCGGTCGAAAGCTGAACAATGAGCCCTGGTAAATCTGCTTGGTTGCTACTCGTCCTGATTTCCTATTACGGTAACAGTATTCGGCATTAGTCGACTAAATTTTCAATCATGATTGAAATTAACTGACTAAATTAGTCTTATTTCGTCCGTCCATTATCTATCTGTCTGTCAATTTGCATGTCTGCAGACAGCTAAGGGATGACAGTGGAAACATACATGTCTTCAATTTAAAAACTGCAGCCCAATATAACCTACGTATAATTAACATGCTAACTGTTATAGATAATTTCTATAAATTACAGTTAAACCTGTCTACAACGGAACCTGTATATAGCGGAAACTGTCTACTTTGGAAGACGTTATATGATCTGTTCAAATTGGGGTGAAGACATATTCCTGCTTTAAGTTTAATTAAGGTAAACAAGATTATTAAAGCATGACACATTATATAATGCCAACGGGAGCATACAAAGTAGGTCAGGTTCGGTAGTAGTAGGGTTTGATTGATGGAATAAAGATAAAGACAACGCCACACATGGGCGTTCTGCAAATGAAAATACACCCGTGTCTACTTATATTAACCTGCTTATAATGAATTCTCGGCTTTAACGAACCAATTTTAAAAATACAAATGAAACACCCATAAGAGCCACGTTATTTTTTCGGGCTACAACGAACCCGTATATAAAGAACAGTATTTGGATTTAAAAAATTTTAATAATAAAAAAATTTATATATTTACAATTAATAATGATAAATATATCCAGTAGATCCCCGTCTTACGACCTAATTAATTTTTGCATAATTGTCGTTATGCAAATCGTCCCTTATTCTATAAGTTTAATGTTATAAACAGAAGTTACGTTCCTGGAAACAAATTTTACTTACGTAATTTAAATATTGTTCTCTAACAAATACACATAGATGTTAAATATACCATTTTACATGCTCAAAATATTAAATAACATCAGACATAAAAAGGAAGCATAAAGAAAAACTCGGTCGTAAAGTAGGGGTCTACTGTATTTAATAGTAATGAATATAAAAATGTATGAGTTTTATTACGTGAATTTCGAACGTTATTAAAAATTCTATAGATAAATTATTTATTTATATATAATTTATATAAAATAAAAGTAACTTACTGTATTTATACTTTTCAATGTGGAGATGAATGATTCAATCTTTGTTAGTAAACTGTTATCATTATTATTCTCTATTTCATTAAGAATTTGATTCCATATAATACCACTGAGAAATAAATTTCCTACTTGTGGTTCCTCATGTCGATATACACACAGACATATTCCTTTTTAAAAATATAAAATTTTCATTTAAAACGACACTTTAACAATGAAAATATCGAAAGTTTTTTTTTAAAATTTATATCAAAACAATTTATAACACCAATCATTCTAAATAGAACATAAAAGTATTGTTTGGTTTTGATTTGAATTAAATATAATCAGTGGTCAAACAATTATATTTACTTTGAAAAACAAAGAAAAAGGAAAGTTGGATTGATAGAATAATGGCAACTAATCTGTGGTAGTTGGATGCCTGCAAAAAGGACCTTTTTTAGGTGTAATGCATGCAAAAATACCCTGTGAAACTCCAGTGTTTAACCATTTCGTGAGCCGCGAACCTACGACTGCTTATTAGTGTTCAGTGGTTTTATTTACTAGCCCACTGTTAGTTGTGAATATAAGAAAATAAAGGAAAATAGTAAATTTGGGACAATTAATAAAGAATAAACTTGAAAAATAAGGGAAAAAAAGGAAAAATAAATTTAAATTAATTTTATATTATTTTGTGTTTAGGTTGATGAGAATAATGAAAAACACAGCACGAATGATCTGCTTTTCGGGAGAATTTCTATAGAGAATTGCTCCTTTTGGATGTTAGACGGGTGAAGAAAATCCATAAAACTGCACCAACTAGTAGTTTTATCCAGTAGCTCAGAAAATAAATTTAAAGCAGTAAGATACATTTAGTAATTTTTGTTTTATTTATATAGTAATGTAGGAAAAAAAGTAATTTAAAAAAACAACCTTAAACTGATAATTTTTTCAGAATTTTAATTATTACTAAATAAATTCTAGCTGATTTATATAAATATTACTGTTTACTAAAGAAATTTTTCACATTATTATAAATTTCCTATTGGAAACATGTAAATAAAAGAACTGGTTGAGATTAGAATTATAGATGTAATAAGTACAGAATTAAAATAAATAATTTAATTTTAAAAATTAAGTTATGATAATTAATTAAAAACTTATTTCATGCAATTCTGTGAAAATATAATACTTTTATAAAACTAGACTTAAAATAATGAGCAATATTTTTTTTTCGGGTTTATTAATTGTATTTTTACGCCTTATGAATACTAAGAGGGTCTTTTTTCGAGTACCACCCTTGTTTTATGCTTTCACCGAACCCACGATAGACTTGTGGGATCGGTCGATAGTGGACCCACGAATTATAAGTGAAAAAAATAGTCTTACCAATAAAGAAAACTTGAAGAAGTAACTTCATCCTTTTCTTTTAGTGTTTACGAAATAAAAATTATTATACTTTATATTGCATAAGACTATAATTAAAACCACAAGAGATATTTACAATTCAGCGTCCACGTCAGCCTGTTAACATCTGGCAGNAATACTTTTATAAAACTAGACTTAAAATAATGAGCAATATTTTTTTTTCGGGTTTATTAATTGTAATTTTTACGCCTTATGAATACTAAGAGGGCCTTTTTTCAAGTACCTCAGTTCCTCCAACCTTGTTTTATGCCTTCACCGAACCCACGATAGACTTGTGAGATCGGTCGATGGTTTACAGACGGAACCCTCGAATAATGAGTGAAAAAAATAGTCTTACCAATAAAGAAAACTTGGAGAAGTAACTTCATTTTTTTCTTTTAGTGTTTACGAAATAAAAATTATTT